ATTGATACAAAGCAAGGGTATAAAATAAGGGACTGAAGACATTCAATTTGAGTTTTTATTAGTAAAATTTCAATGTCGATCAGCCAAAATTTCTGGCAAAATGACCTGCCCCTTAAATTTTAGGATTTGCACACTGACTGTTATGTTACAATAATCAAGAAATAGGTAAGATTAATTTTTGCAATGAATATTTAAATTTAAAGATTAACTTTTTTTTTGCATTATCTTCTTTGTTTATGCTGGGATCATATTTGACATTGTTAAATATATTTCAACCTTTTAATTGTAAATATATGTGTTTCTTTTACATGTATACCATTCATTCCATTGGCATCCTTTTTAAAGACACCCACCGTAATTGTTATTTATGGCAGACACAAATATCTATGACACATAATTTCACTGTAAATGAATGACTGCCATATAAAACAGTCTTCATGAATCTATCTATGCCACATTAACTAATAATCCTCACAAAGTAATTGCTGTATAAGGCCTGGGTTATTTTACACTTTCATATCATATATTGGTTTGTTTAAGGGTAGGGGGAATCACATGGTAAATTAATAGTAAACAATGGCTCAAAAAAAAATTTTTAATGTTGATCATCATAAATAATAATAATAACATAAAATAATAACTCAACATCATCAACATTAACACTTAATACTTTTGCCAATCAGTCTTAACACTTAAATATTTAATTGACAATCCTTTTATGATCAGCAATTTTTTTTGAAAATTTAATAATAAATTTGTGGATAAGCTAAATATAATTTTTAAAGAAAATTTTTCATCTCGTGTGCTTAAAAAATAAACTCTATTTAAAATGTCAAAAAATCGATCTATTCCGGTTACTCTTTTAGAAATAGGATCTTTAATAGAAGAATTGCATTATGGACCATATGCTAGATATTGGTGGCAGCCTTCTATTAATAACAATAATGTTTTTTTTCCTATCCGTGTAGGACAAAGAACAAAAGTTTATTTAAAAGGACATGATTTTTTTATTACAATAGTACATGGAAACAAAGATAACCCTTTTCTTCCAGGATATGTTTGTGAAACTGGTACTATATGTAGTCTTGAAGAAACCAATCCCACTATTGCAATTTCTACCATATATCAACAAATATTCAATACAAAGACCAGGTATCCAGGGCCACTTGTCATTGGGTGGAATGATGAATCAATTATAGAGGAACTTTCAAAGATTGATTCTTTTTCTCCTATTTCTACTTCTCTTGGTGAACTAAAAATTTTTGTTTCTTCAATTGGAAGTTCCACTAAAAAGCATATGAAAAATGCTGGTCCTGGATATCAATCATCACTCCTTTTTCGTTATAATCAAAAAGTAACCTTATTTGTTTCAAAGATTGAAGAAAATGTTTGTATTATTGAGATTTATCAAGATTTTGTATTAATAAATACTTTTGAAGGTGCATCTCCAGTAGAAGTTTGGGAAAAAACAGGTCAAATTCAAAAATATAATGGAAATCAACTTTTTGGATTAGATGATCCTTCTGTACAAAAATTAATTCAAGATCATAAAATTCCAACATGTATTCCTGATGATTGGAATGAATTTTCACTAATGAAACAAACCAATTAGAAGTAAGAATTAAAAGAAAATTATAATTCAGAAACTAAAAAACTTAATTCATTTTTATTATATATAGGATCTAATGATAATTGATTGTGATGAAGACATGGAATTAGATGCTTCTGAAAGGTTAAAAGGACTTACATAATAATTACAACAAATTTATTTGCTCTCTTCATTTAAATTTACTCTATAATTCTAAATAGCTGTAAGAAATTTGTTTCTGGGTGGGCACTAAAAGAATTCCAAAAAAATCAGAAAGAAAAAATTAAAAGAATGAGTCCAAAAGTCAAAGCTTTATTAGAAATTATGTTTCATACAGGAACTTTAAATCCAAACCATAAAATGAGTGCTGAAAATATGCA